AAAAAAAAAAAAAAATGAACACAAGTTTCCTTTCCCCTTGGCACACTAAAGTCATTTTATTTTCCCACCTAGCCTTTTGATTTCAGCTTGTGGGTTTTCCCCAGTCTACATCATCAAAACACCCAGCAAGTATTAAGTATAAAAAGTTCCCTCAATCCGAGGGGTCCCAGGTCGTTATCTTAGACTTTCCTTCCAAACACTCAATTTCCTAGCAATTTTTTGCGAAGCAAGTGCCATTTATAATTCAATATGACTACATCACTCTAATAAAACTGCAACACCTTTATATGTATTATGAAGGAGATTTATATCACCACTCACTTACTAGAGGTGAAACATTGTAATTTTGTGCCAGATTCAGTACCTGTAGAATAGTGACTTGGGCAGATAGTGTGGTAGCCTCAGTTTGCAGCGTCTGCACCTTATGTTCCAATTCTGAGATGTACCTCACCTTCCGTTCTTTGGACCTAGCAGCTGACTGCCTATTTGCCAATATCCTAAAAAGAAAGGGAAACACAAATAAATCCCAAAATAAAACCATACTTTAATAATCAACAAAAGCCACTCAAAACAAAACCATATACCTCTTTACACGTTTTGGGTCCGAAACTGCAATCTCCACTAGCCTCTCGTCTGCCATAATCTTCTTCAGCTCGGCCTCACTAAACTCCCCACGCCCAAACTCCAACCCGACCCGACTCAACTTCCCACCCAACGAACCGCCTGGCGAGATCTGACCCGCCCGACCACAATCGGGCGCCTGAAAATTCCCCAATTCCTCTGCCGAACAGAATCTCCCCACGCCGCTATCCATCGAGAGACTCCGGTGGTGCCGAGTTCCAATCATATCACTGCCTGCCTTATCCCCTAGACCGGGATTGTCCGCGTGATCCAAATTCATCAGCGAGTTGACCAGCTCGTCCACAACCTCCCCCTCCGACTTCATGTGGCCCATTTCCTTCATCCTCAGCTCGACCGGCTTGCTATTATTTCCAGAAAGTTCCAGGGAGCTGCAGTCGCTGCTCGACCGGCGGTTCCCCCTGAGAGGGGGAAGGCCGTCGGGCGAGCTGAAGATAAAATAGCGAGGGACAGCTGGCGGGCCCCGTGAGCTGACGTCCATGTCATCTATCGGCACATCTCTCGAGTTGGAGAAGTTAGACGAGACGATGGAGGATTCGGTCGGCGGGAAAGGGCTCAAAGGGGGCAAGCAGTGGTTCGCGAAGAAAACGGGCTGGGACAGAGAACGGGCGTGGTGATTCTTGGGTTGTTTCAGATTGGGCTGAGCCATTTGGGAGATTCAGAAACTGTGAAAACCCAACAGATCCTTTGTGAATTGTGATTGACGTTGTTTCAAGAAATCACACACCAGACAGCAAGCAATAACCTTTTTATCAAAGTAGTAGTTGAAATTTGAAAAAAAAACCCTAGGGAACAAACATAATGAGGAGTTGAAATTTGGGAAATGTTTCG